GTCTTAAGTCTAACCAATTCAATTTAAGATTCGTGTAAATGAGTCATAAGTTTACCGTTTACCATTTTAATTTGAAATTCAAAATAAATTAATTAAGAATCTAAGATAATTCAATTCGAATCTATTCAGTTTGATATGTTTGTTAGGTTTATATAAAACAAAAAATTCTACTTATATTGTTAGAGGATTACAAAATCTTCTAATGGGACAAATATCTCAAAAATTTTGGCTAAGTTTGAGTAAGAAAAATGGCAATCTTACTTGATCAATGGACCTGGAGAAATGTATCCCAGTTCAAATAAAATTTTTTGGAAGGCAAAGAAGACAAACTATATAAGCTGGAAAAGAGAGGGAGAGCCACATGTAATTGTTAGGTTCTCTTTGTATTTTGATGATGATTTAAAACCATGATTCAAAAGAATTTAATCTATTTTTGTACTAAGTATCTAAAAAAGTTAATTCAAGGATTCTAATCTTTCCCCACTATTAGAATTAAATCATGTCTTCCTTGTTCAGAGTTTTGGGTGCAAACCAAACCCGTAATGCTTTTTCCAAAAATGGTTCAAACCAGTATATATGGCATCGGAGAAAAAATTTTTGGAAGGTAAAATTTTGACAGCTTAACTATCCGTTTATTCTTAATGGGGCTTAGGGGATCCAAATGTTTAAGCACTTTCCAAGACAAGTCAGTAGAAAAAAGTGGAATCTAATTGGAGCAATTGTGAGTGGCTTTAAAGGGCAAAATGGACTTTAATTGCAAGGCTCCCAACCAACTATTAAAAAGAACATCAAAATCAGATCTGAAATAGATATAGAAACAAACTTCTCCAAGTAAACAGAAAAACAGAGTTTGTTTTTGAAACTATTATGGATCTTCTTCTTCTTCTTCTTGTGAGCTTTTGGATTAATTGTCTTACAAGGGTTTTGTATTTTTCTTAGATTGGGATAATCCTTAAAAAGATTTAATGAGTTGTTGAGATTCACTTGTGAGGGTTTAATCTTGCACCCGCAAACAAAAATTTCTTTTGGTTTAATCTTGCACCCGTAAGCAAGAGAATCATAGTGGATTGAACTCTCGAGCAAGGAGGTTTGAGGAATGAATATACTTCGAATTGGAGGAATGAATGTACTTCAGGTTGGAGGAATCATTATAAATCAAGACTTGATATTCTCTTTCCTCTCTTTTTATTTTTCTGCACTTTATTAGTTTTTATTTATTTTGCACAACAGTTTATATATTGAAATTTTGATTTAAGAGTTGAAACAAAAAGAAACAAAATTTTAAGCAAAAATTGATTTGACCCAATTCACCCACTTTTGGTAGCTAGCTGGGATTACAGTAATCTCTATGGTTAAAAGGCATACTACTGAAATTTGAACTTTAATTGAATTATATGTGTCACACGAGTATTTATATGGCTCCACCAGTTCCATCTTACTATTTTTGATGTATAGAGAGATGTTTCTTCTGTACAATTTGTATCCTTCCTCAGGAAGGACAAAAGAAGGTAAGGTTTACAACTTTACATGCTTTTCTTGGTGAAGTGAAAGAAAATAGGAAAAAATAGCTGTCTGCATCTTCCATGTCTTTGCAAACTCGGAAAAAGAATTGAAGTGCAGGTCCAGGCTGCAAATGAAGAAGAAACATATAGCAGGACAGGAGAGAAATATACAGGCATTTACTTGCACGGCAAGGCACTCTGAAGTCTATGAGTTACTATTCATCTCATCCCTTCTCAATAGTTGTGATTCTCTCAATAGAAATTTTAATTGAATCATTTATTTGAGATAAAAAAATTTTCTATAATGAGCATTACATGTTAGCTTCTTCTTCTTCTTTTTTTTTTTTTTTTTTTTTTTTTCGAACATGAGAAATTGGGGAAAGTGGGAATTTTTTTAAATAAGTGGTTTGAGAGTAAAAATTCTAATTGAACCCAAACTCCTAAATTTGGTAGTAAACCATATGTTATCTTCTTCATTTATGTTATATACAACATGAATATTTGATTACATACAATTCATTTGTATATTTATTCTTTTATTAATATAATATTTTTTTCCCATCTAACAAAGAATAGTTGTAATGCTCTCAATAGAAATTCTAATTGTGATTCTCTTTATAGAAATTTAGCTAGACCAGGCACACGGAATCAGGAAATCAAAATTATGTTAGAGGATACTTCCAGTTGAGTATTCAAGATTTTCAACTCCTTAAGAACTTTTAAAGATGGTATAGTTCATTTTACTTTGAATTTTCTTCTTTTTTCTTAAAAGTTTGATATTTTTTATTAGTAGATTTAACATTATTAAATTTTAATTTTGATCTCTCAACTTTATTATGGATTCCTGATTTAGTCTTTAAACTAAATAGATCTCTATTTTCATTCCTAAAGTTTTAAAATTAAATTATTTTTTGGTCTTTTTCTTAAATTTTAGCTTACATGGTTTGATGTGGAAATTTCACAAAAACAAAAATTGATGATGTGAACAAAATTTAATCACAAAACTGCAGTAACCCAATTTTAGTCCTTAAATTTTTCTTTGAACCCTTGATTTGGTACATGAACTAAACAAATCATTGTTTTGCGACTAGAAAAACCAAAAATTAATACTTTAAGAACTAAAACAAATAATTATTTAGTTTAAAAACCAAATTAAAGATTCATGCCAGAATTGAAAGACTAAAATGAAATTTAACTTAAGAGTTGTCAATTTCAATTTTACTTAAAAGTCATTAATTGGAGATGGATTAAAAAAGACTTGAATGTCTTACTAAAAACTCACTGGCTAGCACAAAAGGGTAAACATGGAACTGTCAGGTAGAATATTAATTAAAAGAACATAAATGTGTTTTTTAGTATGGATTTTACAAAAAAAAAAAAAAGTATAACTCAAATATTAAAATTATCAAAATATTTTTAATAAAAATCTCCTTTATATTT